CAAAACTTATATCATGAAGTTTCAATGAGACTGTTCTTCAAGGACAATGCTTCAGGGGCCAACTGGAATATACAATTTGGTTAAGATGGGGGCTGTCTTTTTTTGTCATCATCATGATCATTATTATTACGATTATTAGTCTTTTTTTTTTAAATACAGCTCATTACCCCAGGAGCATTACAAATACAAGGTGACTGAATGAACTTTCACAATGACTAACGTGTTGGCTGAAATTAGTTCCACACACAAGACAGGGAAGAGGGAAAGAGTACAAAGTTATCATGTCCTGTTGCTACAGTAACCAAATGTCACTGGCTTACTGGTGTAAAACAATACATTGTAGCTCCTTTCAGCCTTGGAGTTCAGCTAGCTAATGTGGGGCCCCCGGGTGCTCTCCTTCTGGAGGCCCTGGAAGAGAGTCTGTCTCCGTGTTCTTCCCATCTTCTAGAGGCCACTTGCTTTCCTTGCTGGTAGACCCTTCTGACATCTTCAAAGGCAGCAGATGGAGCCTTAGCTCTTCCTAACTCCCTGCCTCCTTCTCGTCAGGACCCTTCGGACTGCAGGAGCCCTGCACGTCATCCTGGGTTCGCATCCCAAGCTTCTCCACTGAACCACAGCTGAAAAGTCCCTTTTGAGTACCAGTCAACATTCCCAGGCCCCTGGATTTGGGATGTGGACATCTTTGGGAAATCATTATTCCATTTACATTAGGACTAAACCTAGATCCTAAGTGCAAGGAAAGTGGGAGGCTATGGGTAGAGAGGCTTTTCTCTGGTAAGCCAGCCCAGGGATTATACACTTCTGGGTAATGAATCTGGGGGGAGGGGAGGGGCGGGGAGGGGTGCAGTGGTAGGAGCTGACTCACTTCATCTGGTAGAGGTTGTTTGTGCCTCTGTGGTCGATGTCATGACAGAAGGCAGCAGTGACCATGGCCAAGGCCTCCAGATCGGTGAAGTACCGCTTCAGCTTTCCTGTCTGGAAGGGTATTAGAGGTAGAAGTCACTACCGGTTAGTGGGATGGAAGCAAGGCAGAGAGACAGGCGGACAGGGCAAGGCTGGAGCCTACACATGTAAGTCTGCTCCTTTGTTTTCGCTTTTTGAGGCGGTGTCTCATGTATCCCAGGCTTGCTTAGAACTCATTAAAAAAATTTTTGCTATACTTATTTCCCTCTCTCTCTCTCTCTCTCTCTCTCTCTCTCTCTCTCTCTCTCTCTCTCTGTGTGTGTGTGTGTGTGTGTGTGTGTGTGTGTGTGTTTGCCTGTATGTGCCACACCACATATGTGGAGGTCAAAGGACAACTTTTGGGAGCTGGTTCCCTCTCTCTCCCAGGAGTTCATGGGGATAGAACACACCTCATCAGGCTTAGCAGCAAGCGCCTCTACCCACCATGCCATCTTGTAGGTCCTGACCTAGAGCTCTCTATGTAGCTGAAGATGACCTTGAATGTCTGTCTGGTCCTCCTGCTTCCACTTTACAGGCACGCGCCACCATGCACAGTTGGGGGATCAAACCCAGGGACCTGTACGTGTTAGGCCAGCACTCTGCCAAGCGAACTATGTCCCCAGCCAGGTCTGATCTCATTCTGTTTCCAGCTCCACGGGGTGACCACTGGATTGCTCCACTCAGGCTGTAGAGTTTCAGTACCGAACTGAGACAACTCCGGGTAAACAGGGATGCTGAGCACTCTAGTCCCATGTCATCCTAATCAGACCTCTGTAGCTGTGCCCTGGAAGTGGCGGGGGTTGGACGTAACGATCATTGAAAACCTTGCAGCCATTATGTTATTGTGAAGTCTTTTGAACGTGGCCAGGCTTGTAGAGCTGCCTTTCCAAACCTGGTCTACCAGTCAAGGTACACCCAGGATTTTTCTCTGGGGATGCTTCAAATATCTCAGTGTTGTTTGTGCTGAGGTTGATGTGAAGGTGGGGAGAACTCTGTGGAGCTGACACTGACGTCATGAAGGAAGCCAAATTGCCAGGTGTGGTGATGCTGCATGCCTATGGTGATGGAGGCGGGAAGATCAGTAGTTCTAGGCCATCTTCACGCTACATAGAGAGATTAAGGCAAGCCTGAGTGACATGAGACCTTGTATCAACACACACACACACACACACAGACACATACACACTAAACACACACACACATACAGACACACACAGAGACACATACACACTAAACACACACACATACAAACACACACACACATACACACTAAACACACACACATACAAACACACACACATACAAACACACACACATACACACTAAACACACACACATACAAACACACACACACACACTAAACACACACACACATACAAACACACAGTGACACACACACACACACACACACACACATGCATGCACGCACGCACGAACGCACACGTAGAGGGTAGGGAGAGACAGAAGAAAAGGGAAAGGAAGAAAAGCCAAATTTAAGATTGCTGGCATCACTCTCTGTAGCCTAGCTAGAACTCCTGCTCCCAAGTCCTAGTGCTTAGCCCTTCCTGGTCACGAGGGGCAGGAATGTAGACAAGGAGCTTATGCTGTATAGAGAAACACTTTCCATGAGCTATGATGATCTCTGAAATTTCTGAGTAAAAAATATTGACGCAAGCATACCAAGGCCACCCAAAGATATTGTAGCAATGTTTGTCATAGTAGAAGATTAAAAAACAGCCATCATATTCAACAATAGGATATTGTATAAAGAAATTATAGTACAGCAATTACAATCAGCCCTCTGTATGTATGGGCTCCATATCTGTGGGTCTAACCAGTTGTGGACCCAAAAGATATTTTTTAATTCTTATTTTCAACTTCAAGGTTGAACTGAGCTACATTTCAAGACCCTATCTCAAACAAGAATATACAGGAGGCAGAGGTTCCACACAAATACTCTGCTGTTTTATATAAGGGACTTGACCATACACGAAGTTTTGGTATAAAGAGGTGTCCTAGAACAACCCCCCTCCGCACACACAGATTGCAAAGGACAAGTGTTTTGCGCAGCAGTAAAAACTTAATTGGATACACCTTGTAGACACTATGCTAAATGAAATAAGTCAGACACAGAACAAATGCTGTATGCTTCCACTTACAACAGTGTCTAGAGTGGTCAAGTTTATAGAGAGAAGATTAAGCGGAGTTGCCTAGCAGCTAGGAGAAATTGACATTATTGTTTCATGGGTACAGAGCTACTGTTTGAGAAGATGATGTCCCAGAGACGATCGATCATGGTAAACACAGCATAACATTGTGAATGTACTTAATGTCCCTGGATTGTACATCTAAAAATGACTTCTGTGGTAACTTTTATGTTTCATATAGTAGAAGATGTGTTTTATGTGGGTATGTGTTTATATATTAAAAGAATCTTGGAGCTGCAGAGATGGCTCAGCAGATAAAAATTCTGGCTGCTCTTCTACAAGACCTGGGTTCAATTCCTAGCACCCACATGGTGGCTCACAATAGTCTAAAACTCCAGCTCCAGGGGATCTGATGATTTCTTCAAGTCCCTTTGGGCATTGCACACATACAGTGCACTGTGCAGACAAAATACTCATCCACAGAAAATGAAAATAAAATTTAAAAAATCTGGTATGGGGGCTGGAGAGATGGCTCAATGGTTAAGAGCACTGGCTGCTCTTCCAGAAGACCCGGGTTCAATTCCCAGTACCCACGTGGCAGCTCACAACTGTCTGTAAGTTCAGATCTCCAGGATCTGACACCTTCACACCAATGCATATAAAATAAAGTTAAAATAAATTTTTAAAAAAATCTGGTTGACAGATATAATGGAAGAACATAACAATGTATGATATATATATATATACATGTGTGTGTATGTATGTATATATATATTATATATTATTCCATTGGTCATAAAATAAATGGCATGTATGCTGTGTGTGTATGTATGTGTGTGTGTGTCTGTTGTACAAAAAGAAAATTTGGTAAGATTTATACACCTGTCTATTCTTGGAGTTTTGTGGTTGTTTGTGTTTTGAGAGAGCCTGGCTAGATGGTGGAGGCTAACCCGCTCTGGCCTCCTGCGTGTCCTGATTACAGGCATGCCCCACCACACCCGGCTTTTCATGGAGCTCTTTTTATGCTTGTATTACTTCTGCGATTCTTTTCTCCCCCCCCCCCCATACTAGGATTTGAACCTCCTAGGCCAGTACTCTCTCACTAAACTACATTCCCAGACAGAATTTCACAATTCTTAAAAGTCAATAAATAGCCGGGCGGCAGTGGCGCACGCCTTTAATCTCAGCACTCGGGAGGCAGAGGCAGCGGATCTCTGTGAGTTCGAGGCCAGCCTGGGCTACAGAGCGAGATCCAGGAAAGGCGCAAAGCTACACAGAGAAACCCTATCTCGGGGGGGAAAAAGAAGAAGAAGAAGAAGAAGAAGAAGAAGAAGAAGAAGAAGAAGAAGAAGAAGAAGAAGAAGAAGAAGAAGAAGAAGAAGAAGAAGGAAAAAGAAAAAAAATCAATACATAAAAATGGCCTCTCTGTGACTGCCCCACCCCACGGCCCTCCGTACCACCAGCAAGGAGAACATGGTCTGCCCCACGTTGAAGCCGTGACGCCAGTTGTGGTAAGTGATCCTCCGGTAGCCCTTGCTCAGTGAGTACATGAAGCGCACCAGGGCCTGTGAACATACATGTCAGTGAGGCAGCATGCCCCTGCCCAGGTGGCCAGGACCTCCCTCGGGAGACCCAAGGTCCTCCGACCCCATCAGTGACCCAGACAGCGCAGAGGAGCCACAGATGGAGAAGCATTAGGAAAGTCATCTATTGCTCGGCACTATGACATGCTGTCATGGTGTTAGAGACAGGTAACTGTGAGCTGCCCACATCCTTCACAGACTGAGCTCCATCCGTGATCCCTAAGAGTGCCTGGGGTGCAATGGTCCTGGGAGAAAGGACTGTTTAATCCCATGGTTCTACAGTGGGAGTGTACTTTGAAATCCCTGGAGGTCCCATTAGGGTCAGATTTCTTAGAGCTGATAGCATGCTCTGTGTCTGGGACTGTGGGATGTATGGGTGTGTAAAGCATCTCGGCAGTGGTTCGGCCAGGACTGAGGTGGTCTGGGCAGGTACTTTGAAAACCGCTGCCTTCAAAGTCTAGAAGGTTTTGTGCACCCTTTCCTTCGCACACACTCTCCCACAGTGCACCTTTGTATGGAATCCTGCAGTGAAAGAGCCCTGTTTCCATGAACTTAATGAACGTCTCCCACCCACGCGAGAACTTCAGGACCTTGATCCAAAAGAACAGTGCCTTCTCTAACAGAGGACCCAGCCAAGTCCTAGGCACATTCTCTGAATCCCCAATGCAGAGCACACACTCTTCCCACATGCTCTACAGACCAAGCTGTTCTTTTAAAGTCAAGGAGGGACGAGGGTGGGGGGTGGGGTGGGATGGGGGAGTGATCTGGATGTAGTAGCTCCCACCTGGAGTCCCAGCACACCGGAGGCTGAGGCAGGACCAACAGCCACAAGTTCAAGGCCAGACTGGACTACACGATGAGCTCCGAGCTAGAAGGGGCTGCAGAGTGTGGACCGGGGGTGGCGAGGGGCTCTGGGCCTCACCTCTTGCGGGATGTGGAACTTGTCCACCACTCGGAGCTCGTAGTACATCTGTATGCCGCACTTCACCAGCTCAAGCTCCGTGAGGGGCAGGTCGCTGAAGTGAAACTTGTTGATTTCATATTTCTCCGCATCTGGAAGCTCTCCTTGCTGGATGGGAGCGGAGTCCAGTGATTAAGGGGCACGGTGTGTTCTTGGGCCCCTCCCCCAGGTCTGCTGAGAGAAGCCAAGCAGGGTGAAGGGATGCCCAAACCCTGTTGCACCAGGGTCAAGCTGCTCACCAGGATCTCAGCCAGCTCCTCCTCCTCACATTCCCACGGCTCTTTCCCATACACCTCTCTGGTTTTCTGCCATGAACAAAAACAGCAGAGAAAATGCAATAGGTTATTGTCTCAGGAACCCAAGGAGACCTCCACACCCCACTTCTGCTTTGCTCTTTCCTCCAGCAGAAGCGCCCAGAGACTGCTGTTTGGCCTTTATTGACGAATCAGTCCTGGGCTTCAGAGCCATCGAGGCCTACATTCAAATTCAGGCTGTGAAGCCAGGCAGTGGTGGTGCACGCCTTTAATCCCAGCACTTGGGAGGCAGAGGCAGGGGGATTGCTGTGAGTTTGGGGCCAGCCTGGTCTACAGAGCGAGTTCCAGGACAGCTAGGACTGTTACACAGAGAAACCCTGTCTTGAAAAACCAAACCAACCAACCAACCAAACCAAAAAAAAAAAAAAAAAAAATTCAGGCTGTGAATAGAAAAAACACTTTCTAGCTGTGTTACTAAATGCCTTAGAATCTTAATTCTGCCATCTATGAAATGGGAATAATCAAAGCCTATAACTAATCATTTGATTGTTCAGTCTTTTTTTTTTTTTTAATATTGGAACCCATACAAGGCAAGCATGTTAGCATTGAGCTACACCCTCAAGTTTTTGTTTTTGAGATAGGGTCCCACTGTGCAGCCCAGGCTAGCTCAGATTTGCTGGCCTGCAACATCCCACCCTCCAACCTCGGCTTCCTGAGTGTTGGGGTCATGGGTATGCTCTACCACGCCTGGGTCTTGTTTTTAAACCAAATATGTGAACTAGCCAGACACGGTGGAACACATCTGCAGTCCCAGCACTCAGAGGCTGTGGCAGGGACATCTGAGACTTGAAGGCACCGGAAGCCATACAGAGAAGCCCAGGCTATATAGTAAAACTATCCCTGAGCAAACCAAAGTACAACTAACGTAAGTGTGTAAGGTATTGTCACAGTGTAGTACTAACAAAATAATTTTGCTGTTAATATTTGTATTGTTACTAATGACTGAGAATAATAAAGGTCTGACCACAGTCTTGATTCTTTCATTTGCTGTGTGACCTGAGACAAGCTCCTTCCCTCGCTGGGCCTCTGTCCCCTTGTGCCAGATCAAGGGCCCTGTTCACTGTTTCTGATTTCCAGAGTGAAATCTGTTCATTTCCAACTGCTTCACTGAAGCTATGTGTCCTTCTGGTCCACGTATGCAGCATCTGACTGGCACTGTGGCCTGAATCAAGCAAACCCTGAGGCATTTCTTCTAAACGTGGTGTTTTCTCCTGCAAACTGACCATGAATGGATAAGAAATAATAAGATTTTCTCTGGCATCTTCTAAGATTAAGAACTGGCCTTGGGATGGGGATATAGGTCAGTGGTGGAGAGCTTATCCAGCGTGCACAAAGCCCTGGGTTACTGCAGAACCTAGGCATAGTTGTGCACACCTGTAATCTCAGGTAAAGAGAGGCAAGAGGATCAGAGGTTCAAGGTCGGTCTCAAGTACAGAGCACATCTGAGGCCAGCCAGGGCTACGTGAGTCCTTTTCTAAAGAAAGCAAAGCAAAGCAAAGCAAACCCGGAATGCACATGCAGCCCCAGCACTGGGAGGTGGAAGGTTGGCTAGCCTGGACTACTTATGTCTCAGAAAACAGAAGAAAAAGGGGAAGGGGAGGAAAGTGGGAGGGGCGAGGGGAGGGAAGGAGGGAGAGAAGGGGAAGGGAGGGGAGGGGAGGGGAAGGAAGGGAAGGGAAGGGAAGGGAGACCTCTGAGAACATTGGTTTTGGATGTTTCAGTGTGTGATGTGTATAACCAAGGTCTTGGGATTTCAGCTGGGTAGCATATCCCAAGCCATTTGACTAACTCAATTTGTTTGTAGGCTCTTGGCTTATTTAGCACCAAGCTCTCCAGGAACAATGAACCACCAATCCTCACGTATCCATCTCCCCATTCACAATAGCTCCCCTGATACACGAGAGCTTCTGTACTGTCCGGTGGGGGCTTGCCACCTCCTGAGCCATCCTTTAAGAACAGGAGTTCATTTTCCTGACGAAGGTTAAGTGAGAACACTCTTCTCCTACTAGATGATAGGAGGCCAAGTCCTCTCCCTCTTTGGGGTCTCAATTTCTTCATCTCTGCATTAGGTAAGGAATCCTTCCCTGCTCCCCATGGGGCTAATGCATATGAAGCCTGGAACATATCCATAAATGGGAATTTGCTGCGTGAACTGTATTTTGTTTTGAGACAGGATTTTATGGAGCTCATGCTAGCTTCAAACTCACTATGCAACCAAAGATGACTTTGAACTCTTGACCCTCTACCTCTCAAGTGCCGTGATTACAGTGTGCTCTAACATGCTTAAGTTGTACAGCACTCAGGATCAAACCTGGAGCTTCATGATGCTAGGCAAGCACTCTGCCACTGTGCCTCAGCTCCATCCCTAAATTACAAAATGGTATCATTATGGAAAGGTTTCCTACTCTCTCTGAACTACCGCTCTGCTCACCAAACTCTTGTCACATGTGTGGGACTTTTTAGTGAGTGACCCTGTAGAAGGAAGGCTCTAAGAAATGGCCCCGACCCACAGGTTTGCCAGATACAAGCATCCTGCCAGAATAAGGGCTGAGATTGGTTGCTGCGGTCTCTAGTGCCAAGTCAGTCTTGAGCCCAGGGAAAAGTGGGCTTCTAGTGCTGTCAAGACCCAAGATAGAGGTGACCTTGCAAGGACTTCTGTTCCTGGGGCAGTCAGTCATTAATGGCTACTCTCTGGTGCTCACCTACCCATCCATCCAGCTTTGAGGCCTGTCGCATCTCTGTGCTAGGTGGGAGAGACAGGGATGAACCCACGTATGCCAGGCTGTGCCTCCTGGGCTTCACAGCTGGCCTCAGGCTGGCACGTCTCCATGGCATACTCTACCAGATGTGGAAACAAGGAACGGCGGCTACGCACCAAGATCTTCTGGATTTCCTCGTTATCGCACTTCACGTGGTATTTTACGATGTCCTGGAAGATATCCTTCCTGTTTTCAAGTCTGTTCATGGACTCGTAAGTGTCAGGGTTCAAGACTGACCAGCCCAGGAACTGAGTCAAAGACTGCGAAGAAAGAGAGAATTAGAGGCGAAGGCGGCCTGGGTCCTGATGCTGACCAAGGGTAAGACTGTTGAGACCTCTGTTTTGTCAGCTATAAAGTGGGTTTGCCAAGCTGTGGGGGGCAGGCAGGCTGTGATAAAGTAATGGAGGCAAATGCATTTTAAACAAAGGTTTATAAAAAAAAATAATAATGTCACAAAGGGAAGTGTGTGGAGTAAACAGAAAGCACTTAGGAAATCTGTGTTTTCTCATTAGTTCTCACGTGAACCTAAAACCACCCCAAAGAGTGAAGTAAATTAATGACATGGGGCGGTGAGGAAGGGGCATGAAAAAATGGCTCTCCAGGCTCCTCAGGACTATGGCCCCCCATCCTTCCTTGCGGTCAGGCAGTTGCACACTAGTGTCCCCCACCACGACGCTCTGGAGACCAAGCCTGAGGCTGGTGGACTCCAAACCCCACCCACCAAGGGCCGCCCAGCATCGCACACCTCCATGAGGGTCTCGTCCATGTCGTCAAAGGGCTTCCCATCTTTGCGGTTGTAAAACGTGGCCACGCCAACGATCTCTTCCTTCTTGTTGACGATTGGCATGGACAGCACGTTTTTAATCATCCATCCAGACTCGTCCAGGGGCTCTTTCTACGAGAGAACGGCAGGGCTGCAGGCTCCCCCACTTCCATCCTGCTCGGGTAGCTGGGGTAGACTCGGGGCTGTGGCTGGATCTCAATGGCCTGGCTCAGCTCTGAGAGGACAGAACTCGGGTCTTGCGTGGCTTTAGCTGCCTACAAACACTGTGAACTCCCTATGCCAGGAACTATGGTTCCCATCCCTAAGATGTCAGGCTTAGCACGAGCCAGGCATGATGTTAGATGCCAGGATCAGAAATATCCCAGACAGGAAGTAGCCTAGGCACTGGTCCTGAGGTCAGAAAGTTTGCAAGGTCAAAAAGATGCATGTGTCTTGAAATTAGAAGGGACCTTGGAATTTATTCAATTAGCATCTCCTCCCCATCCCCAAGAAAGTAGGCAGATCCTAGTGTGTTCTAATGCTCTTTTCAGAGAAAGAAAGAAAAAAAGTCCCATGGCTAAGAGAACAAATAAAAATGGCTTACCTGGAACGCAAAAAAGTCCTCTGCAGGAGCATTCATTATATTGCAGATCTGCAAGCCAGGAGGGGAATAATGCAGCCGGTCAGAGCTGAGCAAGAGCCTCCAAGACCTACTCACTATTCAGAATACATGTCCTTGCCCAAGGCAGCGCTGTCCTCATCAGGTGGACAGATTCAAAATGACTCAGGGTTACTACTAACTGAGGTTACCAGGTAGGAAAGGTCACTTGATAGAGTTTACTTCTATACATTCTCAAGGCATTTCTAGGCTTTAGAAAAGCTAAATGTACAGTGTCATTATTAATAACTATACAGTATCCCATTCTGTGGTTCTTTTGTTAGGTATTTGGGTGTTTAGGTGTGTGTGTGTGTGTGTGTGTGTGTGTGTGTGTGTGTGTGTGTGTGCATGTGTTGTTTTCTTTTGGGGATACAATCCCATTACATAGCCCTGACTGGTTTGGAATTTGGAGCCAACCTGTCTCTGCCTCCTAAGGGCTGAAGTTACAAGCATGTTCCATCAAGCTACTCTAAGTATCTTTGGCTCAGTTACATTCGAGTTCTGTTTTGTTTGTTTGGCAGGAAGGAATTCTTTCCTTGGGCTGTAAAATAGATTAAGAAACAAGAAGTGTTTTAACTCTAAATCTATATTGCTAGATTTCTCTCTTGAAGACTAAATCAGTCTGATCCCTCTGGGGCATCGATAATGGGACCACTATACACAGCTGTGTAGTGTGTACACTGCACAAAGACACTGGCTGAGTGTTGAAACCCACCTGTGGAGGGATGCCTTCTTTCAGTTCTCAAAACATTCCCACATGGCCCATGAGCGCCCATTGCAGAGGTGGGGTACCTGATCTCAGAGGGAGAGCGGTCCCCCACTCCTTTCTAAGTACTGCTGGTGCATTGTAGCATCCTTCCCGCCTCTGCAAGGACCGTGTCCATCAGATGCCCTTACTCCCTTCCCATTGTTGCTCTCTCCCAGGGCTGTTTCCCCTCAGCCCGGAGCAAGCTCCAGTCTCTCCCACAACCTTGCTAAGCTTCCTTCAGCTGACACAATCACCATAGCAGCCACCCAGGCAAACATTCTTCTCCTTTCTCACGCTTTCTCTGCCTGCTCATTGACCACCATTCCTCAGTGGCCTTCTTGCTGGCTTTTGCTTCCACTTTGCCATGGAATCTGCTTTCGCTGGGGCTGCCAAGGGCCTCAATGCTGTGGTGGGACTCCTGCTTCTTTCTCATCAGATCCCTGTGCTACATCCATGAAGTCTCTCATGCTGCTTCCTTGGTTACCATGGCGCTGCCTCTCCCAGATCTCCAAACGTTTTGACCTCTCCTGTTGGGTCTTCACGGAATCCTCTCTCTCCACCTGCTCCAGAAACCCTGGCATCTCCCTGTATTGTGCCAGATGCTCTCTCCCTTGGAGCCTTAATCTGTTGTACCTGTGGTTCCCGGCGCTGCCTGACCCCGACCGAGACTCCCCATCTCTGTCTCTGCACTACTCTCTCCATGGTATCAGAACCGTCTCTTCATCCACCTGCTCGTAAGAAATGACTCCACTTCTTCTCGACCGAGAGTGACGTGTCATTGTATACCCCAGCTCAACCACGATGTCCAGCCATCTGGAAGTTTAAGATTCGCTCTGACCTGTCACTCCTCTGCCCTCTGGCTTTGTCACCGAGTCCTGCCAGCTTTGCCTTCTCCCTGTGAGACCCGACCCTGTATCCTCTTCTCTGAGTCTCATCTCTGTTGGAGTTGTATTCAATGAACACATTTAACTGAGGCCTGGGTCACCGTCGGTACCTAGTGGCCGTGTCCGTCTGCCTTCATCGAGAGTGGTTTTTGTTGATTTGTTTGAGAGTCTCATTTAGTTCAACTGGACTCAGACTCACTCTGTGGCCAAGGGTGACCTTGAACTTCTGACCCTCTTGCCTCCACCTCTTTCTTGGGTGCTAGGGTTTCAGGAGTGGGACCACCATAACTGGTTTAATGAGGTGCAGAGCTTCAAGTGTGAGCATTCCTAGCCACTCCCCCAGCTACACGACTGTGTGCATGCGTGGGCAAGATGCTTAGTCATCCCAAGGCCTTATGTCCTATGTAATGTGCACACAGTGTGAGCACGTAATCTATGCACATGCGTGGCATAGCTATGTAAACCCATATGCGCTTGTGGGGGGCACCTATAAAACTGGGTTCCACGTATTTCTCCTCTCTCTTCCTGCATGGTCTTTCCATAGGCCTATGCAATTCTTTCCTATTCCCTTCCCTTAATAAACTCTAATTGTAGTGGGTTTTGTTGTGCCTCATGGCTTTTCCGGCACGGTACACAGTGCCGCTTAATGAGTAACATTGTACCACTAAATAAATAACATCAAGCACCCTATGCCTGAGCCACATCCCCGGCCCCCTCCTTGGAGATTCTTATCACCTCTTATTTGAACTGTACTCTTCTTCTCAGGCTGCCTCCAGGCACCTGAGGATTAAAGTCCCAGCCTTCGATCCAAGTGACATCCAAGGCCCACTAGATCTGGCTCCTTCCTCCCTCGCAAGCCACCTGGAAATCTCTCTGCTTGTCTCAGACCTAACCCTCCAATAACACTAAACGTATACATCAGGTTGCTCCCAGTCTCCGCACCAGGACGGCATGCCGTGGAGTCTGGATACGGAGGGCCCCCAAAGTCTCACGGGTGAAACGTTGGTCACCAACGAGACCCTGCTGGGAAGTAGTAGAAACTTTTAAGAGGTGAGTGGGCCTATGAGGTGCTCTTCCACTTAATGGAGAACGCCCTCGAAGGGAACCGTGGAATCCACCCCCCATTGCCCTGTCTCCTTTTGGTTTTCTGGCCACCTGATTACCAGGATGGACTGCTTTCCCACAGATGAAAACGGCACATAGGGGTGATGTGTGTGTAGCTAACAGACATGACCCTGCTCTGGGACACAGGAGACAGCACATCGTCACTCTACCTTCGCCCCTGAGTGGGTGGGACACTGTTTTGGTCTAAATATGAAATGTCCTCACAGGCTTTGGGGTTGGTCCCAGCTAGCTGGAGGAGCTGTTTTGGGAGGCAGGGCCTGGCTAGAGGAAATAGGTCACTGGAGGTGTGATATTCAAAGTGACATGCGGTCCCTGGCCAGGTATTTTGTCATTCAAGTATGGCAGGAGGTGACATACTGGTGCTCTGCTCTTTATGTGGGTGGGATGGGGAGGATGGGAATGGCAATTAAGTCTGGTGTAAGAGCTTGGTTCATGGTGTCTGGGGAGCCTGGCAGGTCAGCTTGTCATGACATGGTCCCTGACGGATCTGCGCAAGTTTCTGTCGTCAGTGACGCTATACACCTTTCCGTGTGAGAATGATTTCTCTATATTTGCGAATTTCCCCCAAATGTCAATTATCTGCTCTTTTCTGTGGGTCGGCTGTTGAGTAAACGAGAAAAACAAGAAACTCTGGCTCCAAAGAGTCACACTAGCCCCCGGTTTCCCGCCAATCTTCATTCAAAATCTTTTTGCCGTCCTACTGAATCACACTCTTCCCCCCCCTCCCACGATGTGTCACTTACCAGACCGTTTTGGGCCACGTAAGTGGGGAGGCCACTTACGAGAGCCCAGTGGTCAGCAGGCGGGTTCCTGTAAAGGCCAACGACAAATAAACAGTGACTTTCAAGTCAGGGACTGTGCCCCCCCACTTCCCACTGGTGCAGCTCCCCCCCCCCACTTCCATCCCCTGCAGCTGTCTCAGCCCCAAAGGCTGGCCAGCCATCTACTGTACATCCAGAAATGGAAAAGAAGGTCACAAATAGGACCTTTTCCTGATAGTCCTAGAGGCTGAACTATCCAAACATTCATTCTACGGATGGTTACAGACTGCGGAGTGTAAGCCCTGTCTTCCCTCGTGAAGTGGGGAGGTGGTGAGCTCCTGCCATGGATTAAGCCCGAAGCGAATACTTTGATACTCACTTCTAGGAGCAACAGCACTGTGGCTCCTGGGCTTACAGTTACATGCTGTATGACAATGCTTCAGTCAACAGTGGGTCACCCACGTGTCAGTGGTCCCAGAAGATGTATCACCCGGTGATATCATAGCCTCTTTACTGTGCATTGGCACAATGACGAAACCACCCGGCAATGCCCTTCTCAAAATGTGTCCCCTTCCTTGAGGAGACACATGGTTCTATTACTTTGGCTCAGTTATTGTAAGAAAAAAAAATACACACATTCAGAAAAATGCATAACCATCATCATCATCGCTCATGAGAAAGTGGACTTGGGGCTGGAAAGACAGCTCAAAGGGTAAGAGAGCTTGAGCACAATCTGAGGACTGAATTCAGATCCCCAGACCCCATGTAAAAGGCTGAGTGTGGCTGGACATAACCATGGCTATAGCACAGGAGCAGGGGGTGGGGGTGGGGAGATGGCTGGGGCTTGCTAGCCTCCAGCCTGGCTCCAAGTTCAAGAGAGACAACCTCAGGAGAATCAGAGTGTGATAGAAAGGGACTCTTGATATCCTCCTCTGGCCTCAGAATGTGCACATGCACGCACGCGCGCGCACACGCGCAAACACACACACACACACACACACACCCCTGCAAGTAAACAGTTCAGTTCAGAAATCCCACACCAGTAAGAACAGAAGTGTCAGCAGTTGGGAAGTCCCAGCCCCTCTCAACCGTGGCCTTCCTCCTAACCCAAAAGAACCATCATTCTAGTAAAATTATGTTGCTTTTCGGCATCATTTTCCCACCTGGGTCCACTTCCCTGTACTGAATAACCTGCTTGGCCTGTTTTTCAACTTCATTTAGAAGGAATTATCCAATGCTTATTATTTCGTTTGGCTTCTTTTTCATGTTGGGCACTTTTCCTTCTTGCCACGGTAGCCCAATTTATTCATTCACATGTTGCTGGTCACCTCTTAGCTGCTCTCCCAGTTCGAGAGGAGGTGAAACAGCACTACTAACTCAGCTCTGTATATCACAGAGTGTGTGCTGAATTAATAAAACACTGGGGCAGTAGCCGGGCAGTGGTGGCACACGCCTTTAATTCCAGCACTCGGGAGGCAGAGGCAGGAGGATCTCTGTGAGTTCGAGGCCATCCTGGGCTACCAAGTGAGTTCCAGGAAAGGCGCAAAACGACACAAAGAAAGCCTGTCTCCAAAAACCAAAAAAGAAAGAAAGAAAGAAAGAAAGAAAGAAAGAAAGAAAGAAAGAAAGAAAGAAAGAAAGAAAGAAAGAAAGTTGAAGAAGCATACATCTAGCATTCATACTCTATTGAAATGAAACAGATTTTATAAACATTATTTTAAAATTCAATTTAAATATAAAGCAC